TCACGGTTCGAAGGACATCCCGTTGGCGTTGGCTGGAAAAAACAACGTTGTTAAAAACTGCTGCACCATTGGAAACAACAGAATTTTATTACACATTATTTTCTACGGCGAGGAAAAATATTTTCGTTACGTCGTGTTAACTGGGAGTGAGAGAGTGCGGAAAATTACAAATCCCTTCCATTTTATAGCCCCACGTCAACGAGGTCGCCGGTCGATACGGAAGTCCTTGAAGTGGATCAAGACTTAATATCTCCTGCAAATGTTCCGTCTGCGAATGGACCAGCGGTGCCCCCGATCGTTCCTGAAACCACTCAGGCCACAACCACGTCGACCTTCGCTCCTTGGAGAACAAGTCGAAGGACCACTGGTAAGTTCTCGAGTGTTTCAGCGGTCCTCTTAAACGAGAGGAAAGCGTTGATGGCGTTTTGATAAAGAGAATGTATCGTTTATTTTATCATCGAGGTCGAGAGCCGGCGCTCGAGAACTTTGACTTTGCGAAGAAGAGCTAATTGCTTTTCGATATAGTAGTCGCGCGTGAAATCGAAACGAGTGAAAACGATGAATTATTAATGTCATTAGCCGATAATTTTGGCCTGAAACTAGATTCTTATCTAGTGGATTTGAAGCATCATAGATCGATTATCTGTCGAGAAACTCGAGAGTTCCAAGGATAGATAGCAGATCGAAGTAACTTTGTGAAGATATCCGAAACTGTATAAATCGAGCTCTAGTTACCCTTTTTCTCGCCAGTTACCTATCCCGATATTAATCATATCCCCCCCAGAGTTGCTCCACACTGTAAACGTACAACCGCGTATTAAAATAGCAGGCAAATACCTACAGCCGGTCGTATACCGCATAAATCGTATCAGTTAACCAACCTTCGACTTCGATGTAACTCAGCAACTCGTAACAATCACTGCAAAAGATTAAGACACCCTTGGGTATCCAAAATTCCATTTCCACCGACCCGATACGATGTTGCGCGCGAAGCTAAGCCCCGGTCCGCCCCCGGGACCGGACACTAGAATCACATTAAAGCCACGCCATTAACTAAAGCCAAGTAACAGGCCAACTAACGCTCGTAACTAACTCAAATATTCCAGTGCCGAGCACGCTTTACCCGGAGTCCAGCTCGAATGGCCAATGGTACGACTACGGTAGACAAGTGTGTCCCTCGGTGATAGCCAGGAACCTGTCGTGGAACACGACCAGAGCCGGCGACGTGGCCGTTCAGAGTTGTCCAGGCGGTGCGAACGGTTTGGCGCGCTGGAGATGCCTGGCCAGAGGGGACACGGCCTTCTGGCATCGAGACAGTCCAGATCTAAGCGAGTGCCGCTCCGTTTGGCTGACCACGCTCGAGAACAGGGTAACGGAAGGAGACGTGATCCTCGGGATCAGCCGGGAGTTATCGCAGGTGACGAACAACAGCAGAGGCCTCTACGGTGGCGACATGATGATCACGACCAAGATCATCAAGAACATGGCGGAGAAGATGGCGCAGGATATAAGGACGTACCAGGACGCGAATCAGAGGGAGGTGAGCGTAACCGAGCTGCTGCAAGGTGTCGTGAGGACGGGCAGCAATCTACTGGACAAGGCGCAAATGGCATCCTGGAAGGATCTTAGCCATCAGGAGCAGATGAGAGTCGCGACCTCCTTATTGATCGGGCTCGAGGAGAACGCGTTTCTGTTGGCCGACACGCTGATGCACGAGAAAACGATCACTCACGAGGGAAGGAACATACGTGAGTATTGTTGCATACATACATACATACGTACATACTTTGAACTTGCGCGTTGAAAGCGGCGTAATTATAGAAATGCGAGGGGAATAATAGCGACGCGTAATCGCGAATTAGTTGAAATCGCATCGTGCGCGAGGCGCGTCGATTGGAAAAATTAGCCACGGACTAATTTAGATGGTGGATGATAGGACACGGGACAGAGAAAGGACGGCGAATCGCGACGAAGAAAAAAGAGTGACAGAGACGGTACAACGAATTACCGTTGAGTCGTCTGGCACAATGGACATGCAAGTATCGTTGGTCTGACTTTAGCATCGGGTCGCATAAATCTAGATCCCTTATCTGCGGAATGCGACGCTGGTAATATCCGGCGTAGATAAAACAAAGATCCAAACCCATCGTAATTCTCCGGTACCTAGCTGGATAATGTTGTAACCCGAGCTTTACCTTTCTCTCTTACCCGGCATTAACACAACAAAACCCTGAGAAAATTACGAGCAATTTGATTTACTTCCTGAAAGTAACGTAGCGCGCGGTCGTGATTGAGGCTGGAAGCAAGTTTCTGAGTCGCGGCCGAACGAAGTAGCACCCAACATTAGATCCGCACGTGATAAATAGCATAACAGTAAAAGGTAAAAAGAAGATGAGTTTGATGAGCGACAGCCGGCCGGATGCCATGTAACATAATATTCCTCCGTCTATCCGTGTTCTTTCTTCCGTGCTAACAGAAAACTAGCTGCCACTATCGCCGAGCGAGTCTTCTTTCTCTCGAATTTTTCTTGTTCAGACGGCGACGTGTCACGTTTATGACTGATCGAACGGAATATACGACGAGAGGTGCATCGTGACAACACAGGGAAAAAATGGCCGACAGAGAAGATAATGGCGCGTTTAATTTTATTGTTCGTCCGTGAAGATGAATCGAGCAGCTGTACTTTTATGACGAACGTCGTTAACTTCAGACTATCCCGTTCGCGCCTCAATACCTTCTTTCCCAGAAGTATAAATTTTAGTTCGATACGCGTGTTTCTACAGAAGAAACGTACATGTTTGGTACGATACTTATATCGCGGAATATTTCGTTACAAAGTTGAGAAGGCCAAGATTATAACGAAATGATTGATATCGAGAATAAGCCAGGTGCCCAAGTTTTTAAAACGCCAATCGAAGTAAGAAAATTCTTCAGCATTTTCTCTTGGATTGAAAAAGTATCCTCGAGTGTTCTTTCTTTCAGTGGGCAAGCCCAGCTTACGTCGTTCTTCCGATACTCGTAATTCGACAGATATTATTAATATTGTTCGTCTTAAAACAGTGATGGAGGTGCGCGTACTGGATGCCCGGAATATCGGCGATGATCTAGAGGTGTTCCCAACGGAGGCAGCTCAACAGAGGTGGACAGCATCGAACGATCGTGTCGAGTTAACCAGAGGAGCTTTGCTGGAGAACAGCGAGGGTGGCATTGTCCGTTTGGTTTTCATGGCCTTTGACAGGCTCGAGGAGATCTTGCAGCCGCAAGCCGAGGTATCATCGCTAGTCATGAACGACGATCCACAGCCACTGCCGAAAAGGAACACGACCAGACTCCTAAATAGCAAAGTGATCTCCGCGTCTTTGGGCAAAGGAAGACACATACAACTCAGCGAACCTGTCAGAGTCTATTTCAAGCATTTATCCATTGAGAACGTCACCAATCCGACTTGTGTGTTCTGGGATTACATCTTGAGGTGAGTTTCCTCTTCTGATTACATTAATTCGTTTCCCTTTAATTCATACCTTCGTTCGCGTTTTATTTCATACGATGACATTTGATGATAATTTCATTCCCTTCAGGACAATGTAAAAATAACTTTCGTTCTATGTGATTTTAATTACCATTTCAGTGCTTGGTCGGAGGAGGGTTGCGAGATACGAAAAACCAACGAAACTCACACAGTTTGCGAGTGCAATCATCTTACAAATTTCGCCGTTCTGATGGACGTGCACGCCGTCCGACTAAATATCGCTCACCAAGTCGCGTTGCAGATCATCACATATATCGGCTGCATCATTTCCGTAGTTTGCCTGGTTCTAGCAATTCTGACCTTCCAATTGTTTCGCGGACTAAAGGTAATCATTCCATGGTGCATACAGCGATCGATCGTAACGTGCGAAAATTCCGTTTGTATCGATCGAACTTCTATCGGAGAACCTCTACTGTCACGCCATTTTGTTGCAGTCGGATAGAACAACCATCCACAAGAATCTCTGTGTGTGCTTGCTGATCGCGGAAATTTTATTCGTTTGCGGAATCGGACAAACGAACCAGAGAATTGTCTGCGGTATCGTCGCTGGATTGTTGCACTTCTTTTTTCTTTGTGCATTCGCCTGGATGTTCCTCGAAGGTATCTCTCGAAATACAATACTCGCGACACTACTATCGTAGACAGCCGTATCGTAGATTAACAAACAGCAAATACGAAGGGCAATTCCAACGAAACGTGAACAGGAGCTTGACTTTCTTTCGATCTTTTCTCTGCAGGATTTCAATTATACGTCATGCTGATCGAGGTGTTCGAAGCGGAAAAGTCAAGGCTACGCTGGTATTACCTGGTCGCTTATGGTGCGCCGTTGTTGGTCGTTGCGATTTCTTGTATAATCGATCCTCTCAGTTACGGTACCGATCGATATTGCTGGCTACGCGCGGACAACTACTTCATCTTCAGCTTCGTTGGACCAGTGATACTTGTTATACTGGTAAGATACTGGCCGTTTGCGAGAAAAATACGAGATAAATTGTCGATCGATCCACGTATCGTGTATCGTATGGTATCGTATCGTATATTGTATTAACATGATAATATTTTTAAAGCATCGAGTGTTTCGATGAAACGTAAAACCGTATGAATACTTGATGTACCTATCTATATTCCATCCTTGGGGCAAAGCTCGATACAAAAGCTGTTATCCGATTTTCTTGGTTAGGCAAACCTGGTATTCCTGTCGATGGCGATTTATATGATGTGCCGACACGCAAACACTACCGTAGCGATGAAGAGTAAGGAGCACTCTCGATTGGCCAGCGCAAGGTAAGCCTAGAAATTCCAGGGTTTGTTGTTCGTACACGTACAAGAAACGTAACAACGAATTTGTATATACATATATATATTACGTATCTCTATATTAAAGTAATCGATCGAGTCCGTCCGTTAATACGTTTCGAGATATACATCAATCCTATCGTCGAGTAGAATCGAAATGTTTGTTTGGTGCTTTCGGTTCACGTTCGCAAGCTTTACTTGCTTAAAGATATCTCCCGAAAGAGAGTCTTTTATTGTCACGCATCTTTTTGGCGGCCATGCTGAATTCTTTTCGTTTCTATATATACATATATATATATATATTTCCGTTTTTTATTAATTTACTGTGTTGGAATGACCGCAAGATTTCCGTTCGTTCGACACACCACTTGTATTGCTGTAATTCTTAGGTACTATATATGGATATGGTTCTACATATATATATTATATTATTTATATATATATATATTATATATATATATAATATACATGTATCTATGATTTGATAGCGTAAACATTATACGTGATTACAAATGCCGTCACAGTCGAGTCATGCTTCAACGAGAAATTGGACGCACGAACAATCGAACGAGTACGATGATAATTAGCCTGCGCTCTGTGTTTTCTTCTGTGATTTAAATGAAACGAGCAAAAATACGTCGAATGAAGAGAGATAGATAGTAATAACGACACCGGTGTTAACTTGACAAATTTCTGTATGGAAATGCTGGTGATGGTGGTTAAATTCTCGTGCAAACTCGACTCGTTTTATTATCGAAGTTGCTTTATCGTAAAAATAAAAAATCATCCTCTCTCTTCGTTTCTCTCTCTCTCTCTCTCTCTCTTTTTTTTGTTCCAATCATTTTACCTTCCTTTGGTATTTCATTTTCATTGTTTTTGTTTCAAATAATTCAAACGTAATTAAATGTTCTCGTGTGAACGTTCCTCCTGTTGTGTACTAACGCAGTGATATAACGCATAGTAATACGAATCGAGTATTGCACCAGCGAAACTATACGTTATTCTTTTTTTTTTTTTTTTTTTTTTT